ATGATCTTCTTCACATGATCAGAAGTGGAGTATCCTTTGTCAAGGACCTTCAAACCAGCTGCTAGAATCTGGAATCTTGAAAACATGGTTTCCACAGATTCTTCATCCTCCATTTTGAAGGCTTCATACTTATGAATAAGCGCAAGAGCCTTTGTCTCCTTCACCTGAGAGTTTCCTTCACGTGTCATCTTTAATGACTCAAACATGTCAAACGCTGTTTCTCTATTTGTGATTTTCTCATACTCAGTATGAGATATAGCGTTTAACAGAATAGTTCTAGCTTTGTGATGATTTCTGAAATCTCTCTTCTGTTGATCAGTCATTGACTTTCTGTCAATCTTTTTGCCCTCACCATCAGTGGGGTGAGTGTATCCATCAATAACCAAATCACATAGATCAACATCATAGCCTAGAAAGAAACTTTCTATTCTATCCTTCCAATAATCAAATTTTTTCCCATCAAACATTGGAGGCTTTGTGCTGATTTTATCTTTATCATCATATTTGTTGTATGAAGTTGAAGTTTCAGCCATAATATATCAAGGATAAAAAATCAAGAGTTTTCCCAACTGGATCTTTCTCTGTCACTGTTAAGTGATAGCACTTCAAAGCCGGAGCTCTGATACCAACTGAAGGTAGGAAAACACTTAGAAGAAGGGGGGGGGGGGGGTTGAATAAGGGGTTTTCAAAAACAATAATGACAATAGAAAATAACAAGTTATTTTTATCCTGGTTCGTTTGAACTCAAACTACTCCAGTCCACCCGGCCAAGGTAATTTCGCCTCTCTCAAACGAGGACTTAATCCACTAAATCAAAACTTGATTACAATGATATCACTAAGACAATTGTCTTAGTCTTCTCAAGAATCCTGACCACAACTTGGTCTCTCAAGAAACTTTTACAAAGGTAAAATACAACGTGTTTAAGGTGCTTCTAAAAAGCTATTATCACAACTGTGATTTACACAGGTAAAGAACAAATAAAACATACGTGTTTGATGTAGGAAGTTGTTTGATGTTTTTCTTTGTATGAGTTTCTACTTTGATTGTTCTTGGATTTCTTAACCTTGAAGTCTTGTGGAAATCTTGTGTTTGAAGTGTTGATGAAGACTTCTTTATATAATACACTTTCTCAAATAAAGAAAGTACTGTAGGATGTAGACAGAAAGGACAAATACTTTTCGTCTTGATTTGACATTCCCTTTTTGCCTGAATTCTTGTGTCACGCACGAATGAGAAATAGTACCGTTGGTAGACATTCAACAACGTATCTTTCTTGAACAATGTCTTTTCAAATGAACATATGTGAAAAATAATCTTGCATTAGATCCTCTGATGATGTTCCTTGTTCTTCTTTATCAGAGTCACTCTATCGAGAGTTTTGCAGCAAAGTGCTTAGTGTGAATGTTTGATCAAAGTTGACTTGATTCTTAGAGCCTCTGTACTTGCAGCGTTTAGTTCTCTTAGAGTCTTCTGAATACTGAATCTTTATACTCTGCGCTCAGAGTCTTTTGCAGCTTGCGCTTCAGAGTCTTCTGTGCTGCGCTTCAGAGTCTTCTGTAGCTGGACTTCCTACGCTCAGAGTCTTGCGTTAAATAATGTTCAGAGGAATTCTTTTTGTCTTCATATGAATATTTACTTGATATCTGAAACAAAAACACTTGAACAAAATTAGAGTATATATTTTCTTATACAAAATTTCATTAATGTTATCATCAAAACATTGAGATATATTAAGAACCAATATGTGTTCTAACAATAGATACTTACAGGATTGATTACTTTTATCGTCATCTTTATTATCTTCAAACCGCAATCAAGTAAGTAATGCTTATGAGATTGGTCTCCCAGCTCCTAGTTATTTATTTGTAGGTCTTATACATATTAATTCAAAGTAGTTTTAATCATATCCATGCTATTTATAGTAGTTTTATTCCTATCCATGTTTTCAAGCCTTTCTTTTTACATTTATCTGTTATTGACAAAAAGGGAGAGGCAAAATAGGAAGGTGGTTATTTGTCTTCTTAAGTGTAAAAATGAATATGTAGAAAACTCGTATGGGGTTGCATACTTACTTTCTTTCTTTGTTTTATTTTTTTATTTTATTTTTTGGATTAATTCTTCTGCTTTATTGGCCTTTATGCATAGAAGGGATGCTGTGAATGTAAAGGAATAATTTACATGGTCATTGTTGGATAACATGGAATGGGACTCTGGCTACACGGTGCGATTCGGACTCGCCTTTGTGGATTTTAATAACGGCTTGAAAAGATATCCAAAATTCTCGGCGCATTGGTTCAAGAATTTCCTTAAAAAATCTTAGGACTTGTATATTTTCAACACAAGGAAAAGTTATCTGTTTTAATGAATGTTGAAATTGATGCACATTTCTAGAACATTCTAGTAAAAATAAATGACAAAGTTTAGAGAAAACTAAACTACTCTAAAGTTTCTATATGTTTCTAGATTGTTCCAATAATTTTTAGATTAACTTATTGTCTAGAAAGTTCTATGTCAATGTAATATAGAAAAGACAAACAAAAATCTAGATAGTTTTATTCTAGAAACATCCTTAAGCACCTATAAATAGACAAGCATATGTGTAATTGTATTCAAACCTTTAAAGTTCAATGTCAATAACATTGGAGGCTTCATCATAATATTATTCTCCTCCTACAATAAATTGATTACTTATGTGTTGCCTCTTGTTCCGTGTTACTAAACTAGCTCTCACACTATTTGCTACTATCTTTCAGCTATCTACCAGAGTTTTTTTTACACTATCTAGCTACATTCTAAACTATCATTATTCCCTCAAATACCAACAGTGGTATCAGAACTACGTTCGGTCATTCACTGAGCATAGCAAACTATTTCTTGTCACCAACTATTTTATTAAAACTAGAAAATGAGATCTCTGACTCAAACACAAAGGAGTACTGGTAGCTACACGGTCCGACTCTGTTTGAGTTCAAATCCAAAATTAAAAATGAGAGAGAGAGAGAGAGAGAGAGAGAGAGAGAGAGAGAGGAGTTCAGGTAGCCTAACAGTACGACCCTCTTAATTTTAAGTCCAACTAATATCGTAAACTATGACAAATAAGGCTCGAGTTTTGATAGAGCACAAGTGTAGGCAATAAAAAAAACTGAGACTCGTGACCTCTGAGGCTCAACTTGAATACAAGCCTAGGAAGACAAATGCAACTAATAGAGCAAGAATGAGTCTCTGTCAAAATTCTTCTACAAGAATGGCAAGGAGACTCATAAGCAACTAAGAAGCAAGAGTGATCCTTGTCAGAAATATTCAATAAGATCGACAAGGAGATTCACATGCAACTTGACAACAAAAGTGATCTTGTTATAAGTCTTTAACAAGACAAACAAGGAAGATCACAAGCGCAACTAAGGAGCGAGAATGATTATCGTCAAAAGCCTTCAACAATGATGAGAAAGAGTTTAATAATAATCATTGTGACAAGTAGTGTGACAAAATTGAATCATGGTGAAGATAATGCTTTTCAAAATAAAATACATTACATAAAAGTATCAATGTAGGAGAAGATAGTTTCACAAATTCACATTTGAACAAATATGAACTAAACTTGGAGTTACTGAAATATGCATCAAGAGGAGTGTTGAAATTGATGCACATTTCTATAACATTCTAGTAAAAATAAAGGACAAAGTTTAGATAAAAATTCTAGTAAAAATAAATGACAAAGTTTAGAGAAAACTAAACTAGTTTAAAGTTTCTACATGTTTTTAGATTGTTCCAATAATTCTTAGATTAACTTATTGCCTAGAAAGTTCTGTGTCAATGTAACATAGAAAAGACAAACAAAAGTCTAAATAGTTCTATTCTAGAAACATCCTCAAGCACCTATAAATAGACAAACATATGTGTAATTGTATTTAAGCCTTTAAGGTCCTATGTCAATAACATTGGAGGCTTCATCATACTATTATTCTCCTTCTACAATAAATCGATTACTTATGTGTTGCCTCTTTTTCCATATTACAGAACTAGCTCTCACACTACTTGCTACTATCTTTCAATTATCTACCAGAATTTTTTACACTATCCAACTACATTTTAAATTATCATTATTTCTTCAAATACCAACAATGAATTTCAGATTAGAAGTGATATGAAATTCACTCTTATATAAATTATTATTTTTTTAAATAAAAGAGTTGTTAATAAAAGAATTCAGATTTAGTATTCACTCTTTTACCATTTGTATTTATAATTTGAAATTTTTTTTTAATGATATTTTGTACTAATCTAGTATTAATACTTTGGACCTACATATCTGAGTTAAGTTATATACTTTGAACCTACTTGATTTGTACTAATCTAGTATTAATGTAACAAGGTAAGTTATAAATCTTAAATAATGTTTTACTTTGATCTGTTATATATATAAATTATTTAATGCCAAATGTAAACGGTAAATTGCAGTCATGTCCTTCCAAACATATTCTCATTTTCACATATAATTTTAATTTTAATTTTTTTATTTACAACGAGACTTCCGGAGAATATAGAGGAAATTATATATTTTATAACAACTTGCTCTCTAAATTTGTAAGAGTGTATCAGTCTGATCTTCTACATTCTTAGTATTCTAAGATGTTTATCAGGTTTGTGTCTTTATGTGTAGATTTTGTTATTACAACTTAATCTTTCTGCATATACGTACAACCAGATAAAAATATAAATGACATTTTTTCAAATTTAAAAATCATTTTAAAATCTTTTTAATATATTGTATTAATCTTACATTTGGTATGTACTAAACTGGATAGAATATTTTACTCTTTTGAAAAAGCTAACATACTCCAAATTAGTGGCCATTAGGATATACTAAAATTTTCATCTCTCTCACATGTCTTGTCTTTTCTTATATAAAGTCCTGGCTTTCACACACACAACAATCAAGTTCCATATTCATTCTCAGCAACAACTGTAATTGAACAGAATCAGAATTTGATAAGGGCATGGCATTCAATGGCTATCTAAATCTCTTCAACCTTGGTGTCTTGACTCTTATTACAATGGCGGCGGCTGTTACTCCTACTACACTTGTTGACCGGACATCTCTAAATCGGAGCAGTTTTCCGGCAGGTTTCATTTTTGGAACTGCTTCCTCTTCCTATCAGGTACGTTTTGTAAGATCATCATAAAGGCTAATGAAGGTTAAGAATTAGAGGTTATTTATTTTAAGGTATGATTTTGTAGTATGAAGGTGCTGCAAATGAAGGGGGTAGAGGACAAAGTACATGGGATAACTTTACTCATAAATATCCAGGTATGTTCCTTTGTTTTTTATGTAATTTTTATATGAAGCTCTACTACTTTCTATCCTTAATTATCTCATGAAATGACACATATTAAGAAATTAAATATAAAAAATGTTATTTTAGAAGCATTATATATGTTCAATTTCTTAAAAGTCATGGAAATTGATTTTTACAACATAACTTTTTAATTTTTTAAAACGCGTCTTTAGGGACCTGAGATAGAGGTTAGCACAATCATAATCTCAATTTTAGGGACCTGAGATGGTTAGCACAATCGTAATCTCAATTTGTTTAATAACTCAATGAAAATAAAATGTACCTCATTTACATGTTCTCTTTTAGTTATTGATTAATGATTTTTGACCTGACATTTTTCGTATTAGTTTTCTTAATAAAGACATTTGTGTAGTAGTTATTATTTACTAACTCTTTTCTATAAAAAAACTATTAAATTTATTACTTTTAACAAAACTATTTATTATTTTTTCATAGTACATTTAACTATGGAGTACTATTCATCTCATTTCAGTTATTTATTTATCATCAATAATTGTTATAAATTTTTTTTTATTATAAACAACAGGTAATATTATTTTGTACTTAGAATACTAAAACAAAATGCAATTATCTTTTTTATAAAAACAGGGCACTTAGACAAAGGAATGGGATATTAAATTAGTTTATATTGACTAGTAGAAAAACAGACACAAACGTGTCTGTTTGGCCTTGTGTTTGAAAGCAGATTTTATAAAGAATAGATTAAATTTATCTTTCTTTAAGTTTTTGTTTCATTGAAAGGGAATTGGCCGAGTCTCATTTTTCTAATCCTTATTTTTCTTTTATATATATATATATATATATATATATATATATATATATATATATATATATATATATATATATATATATATATATATATATATATATATATATATATATATATATATATATATATATATATATATATATATATATATATATATATATATATATATACCATATATATATATATATATATACCAGTATCCGGTGCAGATAACGGTACTAGTACGAGATACGGTATTTTAAAAAAAAATTAAGATGTACGTTAATAAAAAATAAAAGTTAAAAAATTAAATTGTTGGGTACATAACAAAAAAATTACTATAAAAATAAAAATAAAAAATAAAAAATAAAGTTAAGATATAGTAACAAAGAAATGAAAATACATAAATATATTATATTGATATTTAAAAAAATTACAAATTTCACTCGAAATCGAATAATGAGAAAAAATGAAGTACTACGAGTACGGTACATGTATCTGATACCGATACTTCACCATTTTAAAAATACCCATGCTTCATATATATATATATATATATATATATATATATATATATATATATATATATATATATATATATATATATATATATATATATATATATATTACTTATCTGCATTGTTTTAATTTAAAATTAAATAAATAATTGACATATAAGATCAAAATAATATTCTTTTGTAAAACTTGATACTGTTCCTATTGGTGAAATTGTTGCTATGTAATTGGTCTTCATCCAATTGAATTTAACCAATTTTGTTAATTAACTATTAAAATAGTATTTTAAAAGAATAAAATAGTAAATACAATTACTTAAATGAAAGCTATAATTAAAGGAAAAATATTATACCAAAATTAAATATTAAGTTTATATATATATATATATATATATATATATATATATATATATATATATATATATATATATATATATATATATATATATATATATATATATATATATATATATATATATATATATATATATATATATATATATATATATATATATATATATATATATATATATATATATATATATTCTTAAATAAAAGCTTTGTCGTATTCATTGTAATTCTCCTCGATTAAAAGGAATTTTTGCAGTTGCGCTGAAAAATATTCGATTTATACTTAAAAAAAATATAGATTGCCTTCTATAATTCATGAGTGGTGGATATCTAAAAGAAAAAAAAAGAAAAAAAAAGAAAAAAAAAAGAGTGGGTGGTCACTAAAAAGAGTGTGCATCAAAGCAATATGTGAAAACTAAAAGGGTAAAAGCCAAACAACAATAAAATATTTTTCTGATCTGAACCAATTATACATGATGGAACTCCTCTTTTGTCACCAAACCTGGAAATATTAGGTTTTTTTGGGGAAATAAACTGCACATGTTCTATTTGTCACTTTGTGAAAGGGAAAAGTCTTTTTTGAGATACACTTTGTCAAAACAATATTTATTATATTTTAATTTATCTACTTATTTTATTAACTACTACTAATAACAATATTTTAATAAAAAAATTATTTTATCATTAAAAGTAACATGACTATTTATTAATTTGATAACAGTAATGCTATTGGCAATAGTCTGATTTTGTAATTAAGTAATTGGTGTAATTGTTTACAGAAAAAATATTGGATAGAAGCAATGGAGATGTAGCTGTTGATCAGTATCATCGTTATAAGGTACTGCTGGTGCATCCAATTCATTGAAATTTGAGGGTAAATAAATAAAATGAATTTAACGTAAAAATTTTTACATTGTTAATGCATATCAATTAAATCTATAAACTTTTTTGTTAAATATATTTTTAAATCTATAAAACAACGGATCTTTTAAGTTTAATCTCTATTTAACTTTTGACAAGTTTTAGTTTTGAGAGACCAAAATCATAATTTTGTGTCTAGTTCATGTGCTTACCATTTTTACATGTTAATAGGATGATGTTGCAATCATGAAGTATATGAACACAGATGCATACAGATTCTCCATCTCTTGGCCAAGGATATTGCCAAGTAATAACAAATGTTGAATTTAGTCAAATCCTTAAACAGTTTCATATGGTTGAATCTTTCATTTACACTAACAACTCTAACAACTATGCAGAAGGAAAAGTAAGTGCGGGTATCAACCGAGAAGGAATCAAATATTACAACAACCTGATAAATGAGCTACTCGATAACGGTAATGCATAAACCATGCTACTTTAGGAGGGAATACTATATTAGTATATCATATTATTGATTGATGCAGGTCTAGTACCATTTGTAACCCTTTTTCATTGGGATCTTCCCCAAGCCTTACAAGACGAGTACGAAGGTTTCTTGAGCCCCAATATTATGTAAGTTTCGCGGAACAAATTTCTATATGCATATTCCATGTTAGAGCATTATGACATCACTTGATTGATGTAATCCACCTCTCGTAGTATTAAGGTTTGATTGTTCATGTTTTTGTTGTTGAATCTCTTTCTGCAGAAATGATTTTCAGGACTATGCAGAGGTATGCTTCAAGGAATTTGGAGATAGAGTGAAGCATTGGATTACTCTTAATGAGCCACACTCTTACAGTATGGGTACAGAGCCCTACATGGCCTCACACAACCAACTCCTTGCTCATGCAGCTGCTGTCAAAATTTATAGAACCAATTATCAGGTATACAGCCGTAAATTGAAATTTTGTTGTGATTGTCCATAAAATCATCTAACTCCAAATAATGGAAGCAGGCTTCTCAAAACGGTTCAATAGGCATCACCTTAAACTGTCACTGGTTTTTGCCGTTCTCAAATGACACATTAGATCATCAAGCTGCTCAACGTGCTCTTGATTTCATGTTTGGATGGTAATGGCTATTTCCTATCAACTTTTCCTTAACCGTGCAACCGTAATACTGCATTTGTTCATATTTTCCGTAATACTGTTTATGTTATGCTTCAAGCTTCTTAAGGGGTTTGTTTGTAGGTTTATGCAGCCAATGACAACAGGAGGGTATCCACTAAGCATGGTGTCTTTTGTGGGAAATCGGTTACCAAAGTTCACTCAAGAGCAATCCAAGATACTTACCGGCTCATTTGATTTTATCGGAATCAATTACTACACCTCAAATTATGCGGCCAATATACCACGTTCAAATAACGACACAAGCAAATCAACGTATTTCAAGGATACTCACGTCAATTTAACAAGTAGGAATACCTTGTTCACAACTCATGAAGAATTATACATTATATATACAGTTTGTGATACTTTCGTTTGATTTTTTCAATGAAAAGAAGATAATTCCTTTCTTTGATGTAAAATGTTTCTGCTATGCCTTATGACAGCTGCGCGAAATGGGATACCAATTGGACCACAGGTGAGTAAGACTCTATTTCAGTTATATCGTTGCATCTGAGATATGAATGTGTGCGCATGCCCGCGTATTGACATTTATACAATCAGATAATTTGTCTATATGATTTGTTTGTTTTACAAATAACTAAGAAACAACATTTGTGTCCAGGCTGCTTCACCTTGGCTATTTGTTTATCCAAGGGGGATTCAAGAGCTACTACTGTACACAAAGACAAAGTATAACAATCCTTTGATATACATAACAGAAAATGGTATGGACGAGTTGAATGATCCAACGCTACCACTTGAAGAGGCGCTCATGGATACTTATAGAATTGATTACTTTTATCGTCATCTTTATTATATTTCATCTGCAATCAAGTAAGTAGTAGAACCATCTCTCTACTCATTTCATATTGAATGACCTTGTCTACTATTAACTCTTACTTTTATGTGTGAAGGCATGGCGTGAAAGTACAAGGATATTTCGCATGGTCACTTTTGGACAACTTTGAATGGATTGCCGGATACACCATGCGTTTTGGAATTAACTTTGTTGATTACAAAGATAATCTTAAAAGACACCATAAGCTCTCTGCCCATTGGTTTAAGAATTTTCTTAAAAAACATTAGAGTTACAGCTTGATGTCATGTTGGTCTCCAATAATATGATATGAACTTGATCATTAATCGTAATACAATGTGAAAATTGTAACATTGGATTTGAATAGCAATTGACCTCTAGCTTGATGTCATAGTTTATTTTTGAATAACAATGTGAAATATTCTAAGTATTGTAATATCGTAATACATTTGATATCTTCATAATCAACTTAACTAGGAGTATGTGGATAAAGAAATAACTAATGCATTTTGAAATATGATGAGAGTCTTATAAAAAAGGAAAAATAACTCAGCAAGTTCTTATATTTTGGGACAGATGTAATATCAATTAAGAAAAGGTATTTTGAACCATATTTAGTAAAAATGTGTGATTCCAACCGGGCTCGAGTTCTTATAGAGAGACTTACAGTTATTCACTGCAATTGAAATTACTTGCAATCATGCATTTGAAGTATTAATAACTGTTCGATTAAAATCTGACAATTTGAATATAAGCTTTTTAATTTAAATTATAAAACAAAAATTAGAATTTATATTTTATTGAACCATCAGAACTGTTGATGACATTTTGATTGCGTGAATGTGTTCTTTTCTCGGCTATTGGGAATCTAGTTTCGAGAATTACAGCAATTGAACCATCAACATCTACTCTATAAATCATTGAAATGGACAAGGGTGCAGTTGGAGTTTCATTTTAGATCCAATTCAGTCTTCACCTTATTCTGTTATTCTAATCATACTCTCTTTATCAAGTTTTTATTTAATTACACCTTAGGTCTTTATATCTCATGTATTCTGTTTATGTAAACTCAACAGTAGAAAAATCACAATGTGGATTGAAGATTTATTTCAAAGGTTCAACAATAACACATTTCAACACTTCGGAAGGAGGCTCACTATGCGGTTCTCTCTGAAGCGAACCTTACATTAAATGAAGAAATTGAACGGAACAAATCGAGGATGTATTTGTTAAACTAAGTGATGTTAAGACTCCAATTTTAATTAGGAGTGGTGAAATAGATGGATTTAATGAATATGAATTGAATTGTCAGTGGATGGATCAAAATAATCCATTAGTCCATTAACAATCAATTAATTTTTTTAAAAGAATTTTTTATGGCACTTTATATACTTCTAACGTACCATATGAAATTTCAAAAATGCTCCCTTATTATGGAGATATATCTTAGGACGCACACAAACTTAAGTAAACGTTGAAATATTTCAGAGATATATCTCCATAACATTTTGGATTATAAGTCGCGCCAGACTCTTCTCCTTCCTCATTTCACACATTCCTTCAAACTCAAACTCAACTCTTCTCCTTCTCAATATGCTTCAACTTCACCAAATCAATTTTCATCAAGTAAAGCTCAAAAGAACTCAAGGAAACATCAAACATCATCTATAACATCATTCAATAACATCAAAACCATAAATTTCAAGTAAACTTTTTGAGTTTTCGGTAAATATTAGAGTTTTAGCATAAACGAGTAGTAATAAATGATTAGGGTTAGAACTGTGCAGGAATCGCATGTAACATAGTTTAGACATAGTTTATAACTTTTTTGTTGGCTAAAAATGACGATCAAATAATGTTTTTTTCAACTTGAATGAGGTACACTCGCCATTGATGTGACCTCTATTTTGCAGAACATTCTGGAGATGCATCTCCAAAATTATTCAACGTTTTATATACTTTTGAAAATTCCAGAAATACATCTCCAGAATTGTTCAACATTATAGTTTTATGGTGTTTCCTGAGATGCATCTCTGAAATTGTTCAACGTTATAGTTTTATGGTATTTCTGGAGATTCATCTTAAGAACTTCATGCAGTATGTTTTTTTAATAAAAATTTTCTTATTGGTGTGTGTTGTTTCTGTGCACTAATGACATGCCTTACTTTACCTTGCAAGCATAATAGCTGACAAAGTTGACAGACTGAGACATGGCAGGGTTGCTCAGCACGCATCCGTTCGGCGGAAGCGGAGCCAGTAGGTTCCGGAGGTTCCAGGTAACTCTAGTCAGGCAGAGGCGTCGACTTCTGAGGCACCGTCTACTCTTGGGGATCGTGTTTCACCTCAGGCCACCCCACATTCTTCTTCTTCTTCCCGTAGGAGATGAGATTCACCATCTAACGCGTCACTTCCACCATCCTCCTGCAGGCGTCAAAATTCACCAGTGCCACCTTCTATGGATGATGCTGTTGTTCCAGACCCACATCCCACTGCTGATCTAGTGCCACCTCCCACTGTTGATCCAGTGCCACCTCCGAAGGGTGAGGTTGCTGTGGATGCCAAGACAGAGGGTTTTAAAGGATGTCCATATGATTTGTCCTTACTTCTTTTGTATCTAGACCATACTTCCAGATATATTTGGGACAGAGAGGTAACATTAGTTGGATTTTTAAGTTTTTTATGCGTTAATTTTAACTACTGACATCAATTATTTCTGACTTTGATTATTACTGGCATTGATTATTTCTAGATAATTTTAAGAGAGTCATCCACGCAAGTTTCTTAACCATGGAGGAAGATTTATGGTTTGCCTAAGCCGAATGAGGATTGGTTTTAGACAGTTTTATCCTTATCTGGCCTGAAGGACCTATGCATGACTAGTTATACTCTGGTCAACCACGGGATGCTTAATGCATTCGTGGAGAAATGACATTCTTAGACTTCTTCATTTCCTCTCTCGCATGATAAGATGTCTATCACACTGGACGTTGTTTCGTTTTTGTTACTTCTTTCGATCAGGGGGAGATTCCTCGATCATGGAAGGATGATCAAAGACGTGACAATCAAGATGATGATAGAGCATCTGGGGGCTGATCCGGAGAAGGCGATGAAGGAGGTGGATAGGACCAGGGGTGCTCATGCTATATTTGAGTTCCTGAGGAAGACCTATGATGATGAGATCCTTAGGGCACAACAGACTCATGGTGATGGTGAGTAGGTGGTGGTACACAAGGCTCATGCTTTGAGGGGATACTTATTTTTTGGTTGACACTTGCATTTTTGTGGACACGAGTGCTACTTATACTGATGTTTCATACCTCTGGTACTTCTTGGATCTCATTCAGATCCGTGAGTACAACTGGGGGCGACTTGCCTGCTCTATCTTTATTCGAAGGTGAGAGAGAGATGTCGGTGGAAGACGAAGCAGGTCATTGGCAGCGTGACACTACTGGCGGTAATATTTCTTAATTCTTGAATGTTTTTTGTCATTTTCATTTCATATTTGCGAAATCATTGACGATAATTTTTTATCCTTGAATGTTTTTTTTAATAATTTTTATTCCAGGCTTGGATCCTCCACCACTTCCCGCACATCGCTGGCTGAACGAGTGTGGATGAGTACACTGAGGATATGTTGTGTGCCTGTGCTTTTGTTATCTCGCTCATAGGGAACTAAGTGGTCGAGCCTTTCAAAGTCTATCTTGACCATTTGGTTGCTGAGGACATGCACTTCAATAGCTACGGGGATCACCGTCAGACACAGTTATTTGACGAGACAATGCTATACTCCAGATGGTTGGCCTGCAGATTGTGTATTACTACTCCTTATCTTCACGAGCGCATCATACGGAAGTTTGGATATATCCAGACCATTCCCAGACACCCTGCTGTCTATGCTCCTCCAGCTTTGTCTTGTAGACAGATAGAGGAGATGTTTGTTGATTATGAGAGTCATATGGTACCGAAGGAGGCACGGGCTACCATAACACCAAATGACTAGAGCTACGTCGAGGGGTACATCACATGGTTCTTCATGGGGTCACATCTGTACTTGGTGCAGACTGCTCCAAGAGATCTGCTAAAACCAACTCATTAGGATATGCAAGAGGAGGAGCAGGCTCAGTGATAACGTGAAAAAGTATCATGTTTTAGACTCAATTCGCGTGTTATTTGATGTCATTTTATTATGTTTTATCGATTTTATGTCATATTCTATTTGCATTTCACGTTTTAATAAAGTATGGAGCGATTGCGTGAAGAAACTGAAAAAGAGCTGACGAGTAGAAGAAAGTGCAGAAATATCACACTTCTGGTACATGGCGTTCGCCATGGCCCTAATGGCGTTCTCCATGTACCCAGTCCACGTCACTTACTAATTGAGCAAATTGTGTTTGTCATTATCATGCAGTAACAAAAAAACGTGATTTCAGCTTGGACTATCTCTCTCCTACTTTGTCTCAACGTCCCATACACGTTCAGGGGACGGTTTTCTGGCTGAGGACCTTTACATAAGTTATATTTTTCATAGTTTTGAGTTATCCAAGATAGTGCGGCAGCTCTGCTATTTTTTCTTTCTAGTTTTAGGCATGTATTATCGTTAAAAGTGACAATCGTTGGCATTAAGAGATTGTCGCAATTCTGTTTTCTCTTTATTCTTGTACTCTTGGATTAAAAAGTCTACCAGCATTAATCATGCAATTTTATCGTTACTTCAAGTTCCCGCGTTTTATTTCGACTTTACAGATTTTTATTAGTATTGTTTTGATTATTGTTTTATCGCATCCTTTACTTTAATGTTATGTTGTCTTTACATTCAGATACCATGTTTAAGTTATTTATGTTCAATATAATGGCTGACTAAACATATATGAGACTGGTATATGAAGACCGTCGTCGTCGACGGGACTCGGTAGTGAAATTAGGTGAGAAACTACAATAAATTATGTTTTAGCTTTAGTTTCTAAGTCTTAATATTTTGTCACGAGAGTGAAAATAAAATTAAGGTTTGAGCCGATAGCGCGAGAGTCTAAGAATTGAACCGGATAGTGGAAACTGAGGATCGATCCTAAATACAACACGAGCGCTTTAGGAATCGATTAGGATTTAATTAGTTTTCAAAATACGCTTCTTAATTAAAATGCGCGAGTGAGAACAAAATTTCATGATTAGGGAGTGTGGCTTTAGTCAATAGCACAAGAGTGTGAGATAGAGTCTTTAAACTGATACTTTATACAAAACGTAATTTAACTATAATTTAATGCCTAAAAAT